AGCGCAAAGGAAATCCATTTCTCCCTTATCCTGACTTCAGACAATCCCTTGCTCATAGTCCTTCCACTGAGTGAGCAATTTTGCAAGAAATAAATCAGTGTGCTAAAGATCCCGTGCGCTGTACTTATCCATCACAGATGTGCGGTTGCAGCATCTGCAGAGAAGGGGAAATAAGAAAAAGAGACAAGAAGGAAAGAAAATTAGGGAGGAAATAATGGATCGGGATCATGCTATTCGGCAAACTTTGCTCCAGCCCTGCCTCCAAGGCCCACTTCTCTACTTCTAACTCTCTAAAATACCAATTTGGTAGTCATTAAACCAAACCCCAGTGGGATGGGAGCCGCTAGAATAGCCTTCCCTTCCTCCCCTCCCTCCCACCGTTTTGTTTTATTTAATGGAGCACTTTTGTACAGATGGCAAAGCTGGGTAGGAGATTGGAATCCCACCACCTGGGCAGGCTTGGGGTAGGAGGAGAGAAGAGCTGAGAGGAGTCTGGAGGGAAAAGCGAAAAGAAGAAACATCCAGCCATGCCACATTTCAAAATCTTACCTGCTGAGCCCAGGGAGAGGGGAAAAAAGGATGTTAAGGTCACTCACAGTTTGAGATACATCCTGGAGCGCCCAGAAGAAAAGGAGAGCATCTCTGCTTAGACTGTTAATTGCTTATTAAGTCATCTAACAAATGTACATAATGAAGGACCAGGCTCTGTGCCCTTTCAGTGAGGTGTGAAGTTCCTTTTTTATGTGTGCATTATTGTTGCTATTCATCTTTCTTTTTAAAAAGTTGGTTACTTTTGAGTCTGGAGTTCTCCTCCAACCTGATGATGCCACCTTCCTGAACGTCCTGCCTTCCAGTTGCATTGGAGGACCAGATTCCATAATCGCAAGCCAGCCCTGTTGTTTGGGGGTTATAGAGATTGAGGGCATTAAGTTGAAGGAATCTGGAGGAGGACCTTCCATTTGACAAGCAGATCTGGTACCACCCATAGCAGTTAAATCTTTCAGTTTGGACAATCACACTCCTGAAATCAAAATAGCCAAAATGGGCACAGAAAAGGGATGTTTAGTCCAGCAAATGGGTTGCAACCGAACTAAGGAAATTGAGTTAGTGCCACTGAAATGGAAGCCCTGTTTGGTTTGATGAACTTCTGGGTGTGGAGACTATGTCTAAGCAAAGATCAAGCAATTAGAGAGCCAGTTATGAGCACTATCAGAAAATGACCCCCAGTAATCAGCATCACCTGTTGCAAGAACATGACATTGTCTACCACCATCTCTAGAAACACTATGATGCTCTCCTGCACCAGCTTTTTTTTTTTTAACTTTTTTTCTGAGCAGATGAATATACTTCCAGACAAGACACTGATGGAAATGTAGCCACCCAACATTTTGGCCTTATTGAATTTTGCTTCCAGCATGCTCGTTTCCCCCTTTTTCAACTAAAAGAATCCTTTTTTTAAGAAAAAAAAATCAGATGGAGCAAAGAGTGTGGTGAATACAAGAGAGGTATTAGTGGACAAGTTGGTGCCCAGAAGCACCATATCTGGGATCAAGGTCAAGATTCTGAGACTTGTTCCACCAAAGTTTGGTGGGTAGATGCCCTTTGTGTAGAAGGTAAAGGCAGGTGAGATGATTGGGACACCAAGGTTTTTCTCAGACCTGCATCATTTGTTCAGAGTCCTTCATCATTCAGGCTCTCCTGCTGGAGAAGCTTCAGTCAGCAAGTTACAGGTTGCAGCAATGACCATAAGCTCATGATAAACAGTTGCACTGTTTTTTTCTAATGTGCAATTTTCTCCAATGATAGCCGCACTATAAAACCAGAGATTTTCCTTTTAGGTATGATGGATAAACAGATGGAAAGAAAAGCATTTATTTCTTTATACGATAACAGCAGCAAGAGTTTTACATCTGCAAAAATGGAAAGATTTACAAATATTTGCAGCTGAAGAATGGATAGTGAAATTAATAGCATTGGCAGAGATGGTGAAACTGACTACTTTGATGAAAGAAAATACATTCCCTGGCTTTAGTTTCCATCTGGAAACCACTCTTGGACTTTTTACTTGAGACTCTGAAGAACCATGGAGTCCTTGGGGTTCTCTGAGCTTGGTTGTTTTCTTGCAAACGTTTCGGTAACCGGCTAGGTAACATCTTCAGTGCTAGAATGGAGTGGGGTTTGCTCTCTGTTTATAACCCCATTTCATTCTGGCACTGAAGATGTTATCTAGCCAGGTACTGAAATGATTGCAAGAAAGCAACCAAACTCAGAGAACCCCAAGGACTCCATAGTTCAACCCTGAGCTACACATATTCACTTCTATTGGTGCTCAGAAAGAAACTTTGATTTTGGGGTTTGACAAATGATTTATTTTATAACTGTAGAAATACTTTGTATTAACCTTTTTAATATTTTTCTTGCTGATAGCGGTGAATGTATTTTATATCTATACCTGTACCAAAGAAAGGCAGAAGTTACTTTTTCCCTTCTGTATTTTCTCTTTTTGCTGTCTTTTTTTTTTTCTTGGTTTTTGTCCTATATTTTACTTTTTGCTGAAATTTAACAAAGTTCTTTAAAAAAAAATTATAGCAGCATTCTAATAGGTTACTCTGCATCTTTGGCTGGCTGGACAGGCATATGTGTTCAACCTCTTGTTAATGAGCAGGTCCCTGTGTCATCCAACTCTTGTGTGCTTCTGTTATTCCAAGAAAGGGAACTGATGCATTCTAGAAAACAGCTTCCTTAGCAGAACGACAGTGAGAGAGGGTTGCCAGAAGGGGGGAAGGACAGCTGCAGCGATGCTGTAAGGAAGGGAAGAGAAAAGGAGGAGGAGGAGGTGGACAATGCACAATTAGCAATCAGATGTGTGCATGGAATAAGGAGCACTTCCCAAAAAGAAAAGACTTCTAGAATATTTTTTATCCTGTCTTTTGCTGGTTTTAATTATTTTGATAGCTTAAGTGGCTCTCCAGGGTGAGGTTTTAAATGTGTACATTGGCTGGGTTCTTATAAAATCCAGTGGCTGTATCCTTATTTATTTTGACTTCAGCATCGCTTGACTCCAGACCAATTCTGGGCAACTCACAATATATATAAAAACATACAAATATAATATGATGAATTTAAAAAAAATACACGCAGGGAAACAAAATGGCAAATCCAGACCACTAATGTCAAAACATATGAACATATGGGAAAGACATCTGACAAGAGGTCCATCCATCCAACCCCCCAAGGCCTGAGAGAACAGCCAGGTCCACAAGGCCTTCTGGAACACCATCAGGGTGGGAGCCACACAGATCTTGGGAGGGTGGGAGGTGAGATCATTCCAGAGGAAAGCCCTAGTGACAGAGAAAGCATTCTTCTTGGGTCCCAAAAGATGGCACTGTTTAATCAAGGGGACCCAGAGTGCACCCGATCCATCAGCTCTTACCAGCTAGGCAGAAGCTCTGAAAACCTCAGATAATTGGGCCCTGTGTCATGTAGAGCTTTGGAGATGACAGCCAGCATTGAACTGAACCAAGAGGCATTCTGGCAACCAAGTGCGGCTTGCAAAGCAGAGGTATCCCATAGGCATGCCCATAATTTGCCCATAACTGTCTATCCCACTGCATTCTGGACCAGTTGAAGCTTCTTTTTTTCTTTTGCGTAGTCGTTTATTTCATTCTTCGAATGTTTTAAAATAATTTTAAGGGGGGGGCATTCCCCACATAGAGCGCATTGCAATAGTTGAGCCATGAGGTGACAAGGGCATGAGTGGTCGTCTGGAGGTTGCCCGACCCAAGAAGGGGCACCATTGGTGCACCAGATGAAGCTGTGCAAAGCCCTCTTGGCCACGGCTACTACCTGCTCTTTAAGGAGGAGTTGGGAGTCCAGCAGAACCCCCAGATTGAGCAACACTCCTGAATGGAGAAGTGCAACTCCATCTAGGAGTAAGGATAGCAGATCCCAACAGCCACAGCCACTTGGGCTCAGTAGGATTGACTTGATTTCTCCCCAGTCAAGCCTCCAGGCACTGGGGCAGGGTTCTCCAGCCTTGCTTGGCCAGCCTGGGATTGAAAGATGTAACTGGGTATCATCAGCTTACTGGCAATACTGAACCCTAAACCAGCAGATGACCTCACCCAGTGATTTCATGTAGATGTGGAACAAGAGGGGAGAGAGGGTTGAACCCTGTAGCAACCCATAAAAGACAGGCTTGAGAACTATCTTTCCTCCCCGCCAACACTGACTGGAACTGGCCTTGAAGAGAATCACCACAACTGGTGCCCCCAATTCCCATACCCTGGAACCAGTCCAGAAGGATAACTCACTCTAGGTCCCAAATGTAACACATTGAGGGTGTCTATACTAGAGCCAGTGAAGTCAGTTGACAGAACCCTTTTAATTCTTTCTTCTGGCAAAAGTAGGCCCACACCAGGGATGGTCTGCTGTCAGCCAGTAATGATCAATTACCAACAGAAAACAAGTTGGAGGCTGGACGGCCCATATTTTGCTGGCAAGCAAAGATCAAGTTGTGCTGTCTGAGACTTTGGGCACGTACAGTGATGTTACTGTGCAAATCCTTCTCTACAGCAATGTCATGAGACAAGCATGGAAAGTGGGGGCTTCAGCAGTGATGTCACTGCAGGGTGGGGCTGCCGTAACTTGTCCCGGTTTGCTGGGGATGCCTTTTTCTTTTCGTTCTTTCTTTTTGTCTTAAATTTGTTAGATCTAATATCTTGGGGGAGTGATAAAATACCAGAAAGCTTTGTGCTTTCCATTTTGGATGGAAAATGGTGAAGTAGCAAGTAGAAACTGATGGAGTTCTGTCCATCAGTGAAAAAGACAATGGATGGAGATGACCAAACCTGGTGAAATCCCTCCAAAAGTAAATTCCATTTCAGTGAAATTCTGCTGACCAGTATGAAGGTTTCAGAGATGCAGTTCAGCTGATTTCTCCTTCCCTCCCTCCATCGCTCTGTTTGTGCAAACGTGTGCTCTTTTCCTTTCTAGGCTGATGCCAAGATGGTCTGTGATGTCGTGAGTCGGATGGAAGACACGGAGCCCTTTTCTCCAGAGCTGCTTTCGGCAATGATGAGGCTTTGGGCAGATTCTGGTCTCCAAGAATGTTTCAACCGGTCCCGAGAATATCAGCTCAATGACTCAGCTCAATAGTGAGTTTTTGGCAGCCCTTAGAAGTAGTCCAGTCAAGTACCCAGGAGTACTAGCTCTATCTTTATTGTAAGGTTACATCAAAAGAATCTTGCAAGTCTGAAACTGTATCTTTCCCCCCTTGCCTTTACAGTCCAAGAAACTAGGGAGGGTCCCTTCTGAGATGTTTGCCACGCCCCCATTCCTTCTGTGGGCTCAGCTGACCATTGCCTAGTCTGCAGCTCCTCCTCCTCCTCCTGTCTCTCAAGGACATTCTTACAGACCACACAGTTTTTCATAGTGGTTGCAGGTGGATGGCTTTTGTTGGGATCAGAAAAGAGTGGAACACCATGGTCACTGTCCTGAGTTTCTTAGTTTGCATAAGGCGCAGGACCATAAACTAAACAAACAGACTGGCTTCATACAACATGACAAGCCCCAAAAGATCTAATCAAGTTTAATGCATGGGATAAATGCAAGTCTTAGGTTGTAACTGGCCTGGGTAAACCTGTTGTGTGAATACAGCTCTGCTGGGCTAAATGAATCAGGGGCAAAAAAATCAGTGCAAATATGCAAACATTTTGCATATTTTACCATAGGCAAAAGAGGACATATAGGTAGACTGAAATATTTGAATCAGATATTTGTATGGAAGAGAAGCACAATGTGAGCCCCCCAGATATCAGGAGGCTCCCCAAAGTCTTGGGAATAGTCCCTGGAAATCTCCAACAGCTGTTACAAAATTGTACAGGGATCTGGATAACGATCATATTAATGATATCTAATTTTAATTAAATGTAGATATAAGTCATCTCAAATCAAATTGAGATTCTCTCCTGGCCTACCTGTTTCTTAGGGGAAGAGTTCCCAGAGTATCATTCAAAGTCCAGGTGTAGCTCTTGATCCAGAAAAAAGTTGTGTAGTTGTATACCTGTGCTTTATAAGCTGAACTAGTGTGATGATTGGATCTGGATGTTTTCCAGGCAATATCTGGTTTAGCAAGCTTGGTAGAGTGGCAGATGTTTTTGTAAGCTTCAGAAACTTCATCAGAGGAAACTCCACAAACATTGCTTAGAACCAGACAAGAAGAAGAAGCCCATTGCTTGGTCCAGAAATCCACGAGATATTAGGGGCAGAGCTTAATAGACCACTTTCAAGGCTGGTGGGTCTTTGCTGAGTTAAGCCCCACCTTCATTTTTCCCATTTCTCTGCACAGGAAGCTTGGCGGGGAGGGGGGGTCACTCCATGGGTCTCACACTGGGGAAAAAAAGCACTTCATGCAGGATGAAACAGGGAACCATCTTACCACCTTCCCCTTGCATGGAAAGGTTCAGAGATTGTATAACTGCACTCGTGGAGAAGGTGGGGACCAGCAAGAGCTACGTGGATAACAGGCACAGCCCGACAAAGCATCAAAAATCCATTCTTGCTGATGAACCATACAGAATCTCAGCAACTGATATGAACGATCCAGTCTCAAGTCTTTTGATAGATTACACCTTCTGCTGCCATCTGCTGTACGAAAGCAGGTCTGACAAATGAAAGCAAGGATTCTGAATCTGAAAAAGCAATCAAGCTTGAATCAAGCCTAGGGTGCACA